ACAAAAACAAATAAACAAAACAAACATTATCATAAAATACCCACGCTCTGCTGTGGGATTCTAAGGTCCCCCTCATGATTCACAGAAGACTCAATGTACCAGTCAAGCGTTTTCTTTATCTTAATCACTTCTATATCTACCCCAATGAGCCAATTCTTTAATTGATTTGTCTGTTGCTATTTCCCGAACTTAATTCAATTAATCTTTTTTTAAAATCAAATACTTTTAATTTAGCTTCTCAGATTTATTTTTTCATCCTGTGTTTTTATATTATTTGAATTATTTTCATTCTCCGAATTCTCCAACATTCTCTGATTCATATTTTTCTCCCCGTTGTTAGCTCAATTAAACTTTTTTTTAATTCTTAGCTTTGTATTTTTTTCCCATGCATGTGTTGAAAAAGAGTTTTAACAGGAAACCTTCATATACTGTTTATTCAGTGAGGGAGAATTAGAACAAAATATGGTACTTTTCTATAGACGTTCAGGAAGAAGAATTATGGGGCTCAAGAGCTATAGGGTGAAACATTGGCCAAACTTTTTTGATCATATCTAAAAAATAATACGAGGTGCACACCCTCGGAATCCCCTTAGTATGCGTGCAAAGTTTCAGGTCTCTATGGTCCTTCCTCTTGGAGCTATGGTGCTCACACAGACAGGTTCTTTTATTATTATAGATTATGGGAAATAATACTCTGTTGAAGCTTTAAAATGATGTTTCAGAAAGTGGAAAAGGCAAAAAATTTAAACTAGCAATAACAAAGTTAATAGTTTGTCATGAAAATATCTTGTTTTCGTCATCTATGGCCAGTGTTCTTCAGTTTTCGCTGTTGAAGTTAAAAATATTTCTTTCCGTTTATTAAATCTTTATTTATCTAAAAAAATCGTTTTCCTGATAACTTAAATATACTGTCAATCATATATCGTCTAGAAAATATTATGATTATGCTTATTCGTCTATTTAAGCAAAATATTAACCAATTACTACTGATACCAGGGATTTCACCCCGAGTTGTCCATGAGGCTGACTGTGCCTTCAGAATCCCTAGGGAAGGAAAGCGTCTGAGAATCATACTGCAGAGTATCTCCCCAAGCTATACAATCAATGTAATTTACAAAATTATCGGTCTTTCAGGCTTTTAACTGTTCCCATTTGTGACTGTATGTCTTCACATAAATAACTCTCTCCTCTTATCAAATGAATCACGATCTTTGCAAATGCTGAATTTGTTTTCCATTGAGAGTTTGGCAACTCTATACATCATTCTTCCACTGTTCGTCGTAACTTTTATACAATCATTAGCTTGGAGGAAATGTAGTATAAGTTCCTTCGTTGTGCTTTCAAAAGAACATAGTTAAGAATAATACTTATACATATATACTTTTATGTTCTACTACCGGGTACCATTTTCTTGACCAAGGGTGTGGTTAACGTCACAACAGATTTAACTGGTCACATGAATATTTCGAAACAGTAATGTCAACTCGTGTTTTTAATATAGTACCATAAGTAAATGTTCAAATTTTTAGAATTAATGAAAATATTTATTGGAAAGACATACAGATAGACAGGTACGTAAGGGGATATATAGACACACAAAACGTTATAAAAACAAACAGTGAAATTAACTTTATTGACTAATGTGCGCACAATGAATAACTTCCTTCCTCCATGACGGAAATGATTACGTCAAGTTTGATATAACATCCGGTACTGTAAAGGATTGTACGTGTTGGTATACATGTCTATAGAGAAAATGGAAAAATCAATACGGGTGTGACAGCTAGCGTGTAAGCTGTACTTGACAGGATATACTCTTTCACCGTCCACCAGATCAGCTGGCTCAAGTTGAGACAAAGAATGGAACGCAACAGCCCATCCTACACATTTAGTGTTTTATATACAGGATGATTAGATAGATGGGATAAACAACAAGAGACAGACGGGGTAAATAGAGTGAACAATTGATTGATATATAAATAATGTATACGTTGAATACTTCTTCTATACCATTTACTATCGGAATCCACCAAGAGGATGTCAAACTCAACAGTACACTGAACTGTCTTTAGAAAGTCCTATCGCTTCCCTTTTTTCAATTGATCTGGCTGTTGAAACATTAAGATGTGCCCATTGTAATAATTAATCACTGGTATACTACTTATACCCGGCCTTGTTTTAACAATAAATGACTCCACATTATTAATCTGTTAATAATTTCAAAAACGTGTCTAAGAAGATAATATTCCTCACCTGATCTTTCTCCACGAACCCGACAAAACATGACCTCTCCACTTCCACCGGTTGACCAGCCTTGTCATAGAGGGCTACCACGAAATGAAAGAAGTTGCTCTTTCTTAAGTTGGACGGAGGTTGTTTTTCGAAGTGAGCCCGTCCTAAGCCGACACTAAAAACAAAAGTTGTATTTCAGAGGGTGGGGTAAACCTAATTTTTTCTTTCACTCTGTTCATCTCGTACACGCACAACTAGCACCAGAAGATTACAATATCTGAGGTGTGTCCATAACTGATGTTATTGCACAGATAAAATTAAAGTAAACAAATCACAACTAAAAATAAAAGAAAGCATTTTTTTCATTAAAATTCAAAACTGAAAGAAAAAATGTAAAACAAGCATTGCACCTTATCCTAACTCACGCTACGACATAAAAACCAGAGCCTTTGTTATATCACCAACCGGTGAGTAAAATATATTGTCAGTAACGAGATAAAACTAAGTTAAAAAAGATAAAAATTAAATTCACCATTGTTTAAACTCAATGTATATTGCCTAATTTTCAAACAACACAAATATCATGTATATTGAAAATTCAATATAGGTATTTTGTGTTAAAGGTTTCAAAATAAAGCAATAACAACATTTAAAATGCACATAAAAACTTTATTTGGCTAACAGTTAACATTAAAAGATTCTACATGTTTCAGTATCGTCATCATCAAAAATAAAACACAAACGGGTAATTTTATATGGAAAGGGTTTCACACATTGTAAACCTTAAGGGTAGTATGAATGTTATACATAAGAAATCAATATTTATTTATGAAGTTGTTATCACCAGGTAATCCTTCATTTCTGTTTAGTGAAGAATTAACTTACAACACATGCATGAAATAATAATTTTAAAAGAACTTAACACTTAAAGTGAATCGAATAGTCGAAGATGAATAAAAAACTACTTGTTTCTCATGTTAGCTGTTGGCGAAGTCAAGTTTTTTATTATGCATGTTAAAGTTGTTCTTATTTTCAATTTTAAAATATCGTGTAGCAGAAACAATATTCGTTCGAATGAATTTAATTGTGTTAGGTCTGTAAAACAAGTTATTTACATTAATAAATTAATTGTGTTAGGTCTGTAAAACAAGTTATTTACATTAATAATTTAATCGTGTTAGGTCTGTAAAACAAGTTATTTACATTAATGATTTAATTATGTTAGGTCTGTAAAACAAGTTATTTACATTAATAATTTAATTGTGTTAGGTCTGTAAAACAAGTTACTTGCATTAATGAAAATGACGTGAACATATTTTTATCACTGAATCCACCATAAATGATAAAGAAAGTTATTTCTCAAACCGAGAAAGAATTATAATTCTCTTCGTCCTCATGATCGCCAAATAAAACAAAATCAAACTTAAAGAGACGTATTTTTAGACAAGGAATTTTTTCAATATGTAAAAAGGCAGATTTTTATTGTTTATGTTGATAAACTGCTCTCTTCATTAATTAAAGTTAACCTTTCGCAGAACTCCAGAAAACTCCAGTTTTGTCTATTAAGCTTCCTTTTAACATTTTTTCATGTCCCCGAATCTGAACAACATAAAACTTCCTGACAGTGAAATATTGCTCGAGACATAAACAACGGATATAAACAAAGCGTTAAAGTTAAACTCAAAGAAAAACTCACTTTGTCAGAGCAAATTGCACACACTCACACAAAGATTGCTTACGTTCATAATTCATCAACTTATAGTGAGAAACATATATATATATATATAAAGACCTGCTCTCATTAAGGCCGTCATCAATATGAACGACTGTAGATATTCAGAATTGTATACTGAGAACTTTTCTTACCGATATTATCGCTATTCAGCGAATTCTAGGCTTCATGTAAATATAAACAGAACGTATTCCTTTCGATAATGCCATTTGTTTTCAAGACAAAAAAATCCCTGGGGTGCTGCTAGGCAGTAATTTTCACCTGTATGGCAATTAGTGTGTTTGTATTATTATTAACTTGTTTACTATTACCTCAAAAATACAGATATTTGAAAATTATTATGATAACGCTTTTTTTTTTTGAATTAAGCACAAAACTACACAATGGGCTATCTGTGCTCTGCCCACCACGGGTATCGAAACCCGGTTTCTAGCGTTGTAAGTCCGCAGACATACCGCTGTGCCACATAACTTGCAGACCCAACTTAAGTTTAAGAAGTTGTAGTGTGCCACTTTCGACAGTTACAGATCCAAACAGCACTGTTAGCAAACGTAGGTTATGTTTATTTAATTACTTGTAGTTTTACTAAAATCAGTAGAATAACCACTTTAATCTGTTATTTTAGTTTGAACATTTACTGTATAATTCAGTTCTTAGTGACTCGACCTGGAACGGTGGCACAATATATATATAAATAAATATATCTCTCTGTCCACAACTTCAGTTTTAGTTTATAACACAAATCTATGGTATGTCTATACATACGAGTCTCTAAAGCTGTGCCATTCATCCTTTAAAACAATCACTTGCATTTTGTGAAAGGCAGAAAAAATTATGATTGTTCACATTGTCGAGAAGAAAGAAAAACAGATAATTAAATCATCACGTATAAAACTACTATTGTCTTTCTACGTGTAAATATACCTAGCGAAATGCTTATAGGCCAACTAGCTTAATTTAGTTGTTATGCAGACGTTTCTCCACAATATGAACAAACATGCTAATTCATATCTCTTAATACACTTCACCGACAAACTTATATTTTTAAATCGAAAATTTAGTATGATCTGTAAATAGATAAATACGCAATTTTCCTTCTTTCTAGTCATTAATTTGTCGTACTACAAAACTCGTCAAATAAGTTAAAAACAACATTTTGTATACACTGTATTGTGTATTGTAAATATGTATACATACATTTCTAAAACTCAATTAAAGACACAAAGGTAAGAGAGCTGACAGATAATAATTTTGTGCTTAAAAAATTTTCTATTACGGATAAAAAAATAATTAAAAATAAATTTATGTTTTTTAAATATTGTCAGATATAATCCCGTGTTTTGTCATAAATATTGCTATTCAACGACACGTCAACTTTAAATATAATTTTGTTTTTTATTCTAGATTTGTAATGCAACAACTTTGAAATTTATGACTCAATGAAAAGAAATGAACTGAAGTTATAATCCCATGTTTGCCTTATAGATGTTGCTGACTTCTTGGTTAAAACTGACAAAAAATAACCACATATCTCTGAGTTATAGAAATCCATAAATAATGGCCTAAAAGGGCAAATAAGTTTCAACTTCAGTTATTGTTACTGAAAAATATGTAAGAGATGAAAAAATAAGCGTTTATGTATGACACTGGTTTTTCTTGTGTACTAAAGAGCTAAGCCTAACTTGACGTACGCAAGAACACAAATCATAAACATAGATAGGTATTATTGAGACTTTAAACAGTGTGAAACAGATGCACTAACATATAAGTACAAAGTGATACCAATCACTTGTATGTAAAGCATGTGTTGCTTATCGTAACAAGATGTATTTACATAAATAAATAGATAAGTCTTCGTTCAACGTTATTCCAACTTTTATTCTTTTTATGAGATATATTCAAATTTCTGTCTTTATAGCTTTAATGATTTATAGAGTCGGATATGGCATAAAGCAAACACTTATTTTGAGCTCAATACTTTTAGAAAGTATTTGGAATGCTTTATAGTTTAGTAATGAAATATCGACTATGCTCAAAACCTTGAAATATAGAACTGTAATATAATGACCAGATATCTGAGGAACATATACATGTATAACAGAATTTAAAAATTACTTTTATACGATTACATGCTTAGTATATACGATTATAATTATCCTCGTTAACTGTCATCAAAGCAACAAAAGATAATCAGTTCTAGGCTGGTATAAGGTTATAAGACTTAAAAAAAAACATACTGAGAGTAGACCTATAATGTTTACGTCTAAACCTGTCACCCCTATATATCTGATCGTATCAGATTTTGCTGACGAGAAGCTAATAATATTTAAAATAAGCTTCGGTTCCCAAACACTGGATTGATTAGGTAAATTAGAATAAGACAAAACTACAGTCTCTACTTTAAAGCTCTACGAAAAAGTCGAAGAAGGCTATTAGTGCTCACCTGCCCGTTGTCTGGTCGATCATGGCAGGCTGCATCCAACCGCTTCGGACTGTTCCCAGCTGACCCGTACCCAGGGGCTCTTCTTTTAGCGTGGCCATAGGACCTCGGGGCTGCAGCCCTCCCTCCTGCAGCCCGAACATCGGCCACGTGGGTCGCACGGTCTTCGCCAAGATGTCTTCCGAATGCACCTTGCACCCCTTAGCCTAACGAACTTGAGAGAAAGAGGGTTTTTCTCTTTTGATTAGATTATCAGGAAGTGTCTGTGAAAACGTGTTCTAGATTTTCCTCTGTTCGTGTTTCTTTAGATTTGACTGTCTGGGCTTTAGGTCTCCTGGCTATGGCTGTGATGCCACCTCCCGTTTTGGGATCGTGATTTAGGTCTCAAACCGCTGCTCGGGGACAGAAGCACACTCGCTTGCTACTAGAAAGATTAGCTTCTCCACGTGCTCTCGCATCAACTGTCAGGGGTGTAGACTAATGCTGGCTCAAGCCTCTGGCTACAACGGCTTTTAATCGACTCCCGACGGCTTGTGTTGAATTCCCCTCGCGATATCGCCCAAAGCACTTTCTTTCCTGCTGTTTTTCAAAGAATTCTGATTCCGGTATAAGAGGCAGTCTGCTTCACGATTTTCTAAGTTGTGCGCCACGCGGTCCGTGTCCTTCACGAGCTCCAGTATGAAGCCGAGATTCACACAGGGTTCCGTAAATGGTGATTTGAAGCAGAGAAACCTACCGAGGTCGTCTTTTGTGCTCACTCACTAGGTCGAGTAACAGGCACCTCCCCAAGGATGACGCCTCGTGGGAGCGGTTGGTAGAAGCGCCAACAGGTGATGGACATTTAACCCGCCTTCTAGTAAGCAAACCAACCAATGAGAGACGAGAACATTTTTAAGGACCCAATCAAATACAAGGAAACTTGAAGCGTGGGATATCCTAAAATATTTTGATTATCATTATATTATCATAAATTACATCCATCCGCCAAGTGCCAGATGAACGTAGTTGCAGCGTTGATGCGCGAAGCGTACTTCCACAGATACCATGCTTGAGTAATCAATTGAGAACGTGAAATCCTCTTTTATGGACTAACTTTAACTCTTTAACAAAATTATTTTTTGACAAAACAGTGTTGATGATCAAAAATGTAAACAACAAGCTTTTCTTTTTCATATATTAAAAACAACATTATTAACAGAAGCATGTAAGAAACACTGTAATTTTTTCTGACATTCATGGGTACATTGTTCACGATATTAAACTAATAGAATAGTTCAAACATTATTATATGTGTTTAACTGTATGTGGTTTAACGAAAACTACTTTTCTATATTAACGTATATAGTTTTATTACAAAATGCATCTCGTTCAGCTATGTTTAAGTTTGTTAATCAATACATTTCTTTTAAAAGTAAGCTCTTCTCATCACGTCCTCTAGCGAGAATCCCAAACATACTGTAAAGAACGACTACAACATATTCGCTGAGCGCGTGATCACATAACTAGACTCATTAATCGTCACTAACCTTGCATGCTACTTTACGCGTGTTTCTAACCGCCTAGTGGTCGAACCTGTGTACTTAGAATTACATCTAAAATATTCAAATTAATATACTACCTTAAACATTCAAGTAAGGAATTCTGCCTTTTTTGCCTGAAAAAAGTATGTATTCTATTTTCACGTTGATTTATTAGAGCAAAGCTACACAATGAGTTATCCGCCCACCGCAGGGAATCGAACCCTGAATGTTAGCCGTGTAACTCTATAAGTTTACCGCTGACTCACCGGGGACACTTCAGGTTTGAAACTACTTATGGATAAATTCTACGTAAAATTATACATTTTTTTTAAGATTTAGTATATGTTTGCCTGTATATGGTAATATTTTACTTATTAATATTAACTTCTGATCAGAGGAAATAACTTATTTAGCTCAAAAATAGAAATAAAACTCGATCTGGTAATGAACATAGATAATTAAATATACTTTTCTTGCGTTCTTACTTATAAAGATTAGAACACATTCTTTCACAATTGGATACCCCCGCTGTTAACAATATTTTTAGCCGTAAAAATTGAAAGGAATATTGAATTTTATTTGTTTAAAGTTGTTTCATCAATGAAATTGTACGTAGACTGAAAGAGTTGGAAAAGATGACACAGAGATTACACTAGTCAAGTGGAAGACTGAAGGAAAGATGGTGGAAGGATAGAAATAAAGCGAGCGCGAAAGTATGTGGGGAGAACAGATGCTATTCAAATCAAATTGAATTGGGTATTATAAGTTAAAATAATCTTGAGGAGATTATAGGAGGAAGGAGATCCTGTTATAGGAAGAACAAAAGCCTGTTATAGGAGAAAGAAAAGCCTGTTATAGGAGGAAGAAGAGCCTGTTGTAGGGGAAAGTAGAGCCTGTTATAGGAGGAAGGAGAGCCTGTTATAGGAGGAAGGAGAGCCTGTTATAGCAGGAAGAAGAGCCTGTTATAGGAGGAAGAAAAGCCTGTTATAGGAGGAAGGAGAGCCTGTTATAGGAGGAAGAAAGCCTGTTATAGGAGGAAGGAGAGCCTGTTATAGGAGGAAGGAGAGCCTATGCTAAAGTCTGTGTCAAACTCCCCAGTCTTAAAATAAGAGTAGAAATAATACTAAGATAATTTTATATACATTGATTACGTGGCGTTAATAATATAAATAAGTATAGTAATACACAATAGCTAATAATAACAATGTATAAAGTAAAAGTGATTACTGTCGTTCGTCGCCTTCATGTGATCGGTGATTTGGAATTAGGTACGGTGCAACGCTCTTTGGCCTGCGCACTGACAAACATGTTGCGACGGAACGCCACAACTGGAAGAAGGAGAACCAGTACTTTGGTTGGTGCTAAAATTCTCCACTATGTAAATAAATGAATTAATTGTCGACCTCATCAAAAATAATGTGTATAATGCAATCTATTATACTATTTCGAAAATATTTCAGCAATATTTATTCTAAATAACTCGGGTCTGGTATGGCCTGGTGGTTAGGGCGCTCGAATCACGGGTTCAATTCCCTGCCATCGAACATAATCGTCTTTTCAGCCGTGAGGGAGTTATAATGTGACGTTCAATCCCACTATTCGTTGGTAAAATAGTAGCCCAAGAGTTGGCGGTGGGAGGTGTTGACTAGCTGTTTTCCCTTTAGTCATGCATCTAATTTTTAAAATTATAATATTCGCATAAGTTTTTACTTCACCCGTCCAACGGACGGGTACTCCAACTAGTTAGTACATAATAACAATGTTAGTTTTAAATGTAACGTGCATTATAAGAAAACATTTACATGCTTATATTATAATTTTAAAAATTAAATACATAACTAAAGGGAAAGCAGCTAGTCAACACCTCCCACCGCCAACTCTTGGGCTACTATTTTACCAACGAATAGTGGGATTGACGGTCACGTTATAACGCCCCTACGGCTGAAAGAGCAAGCATATTTGGATGTGAGGGTGATTCGAACGTGCCATCCTCAGATTGCGAGTCGAGTGACCTAACCACTTGGCCATGTCGGACCCTGAGAGGAGGTATGTATAGCTCAACTTTTAACAAGTTAAAACTTTCGTTTGACAAGGTCATTATTTCATATCTACATTCTTCAGGAGGAATTTTTTCTTTCTTCATTTTTACGATATTTATTTTTATACCTTCATTGCCATGAAAACTATTGTTAAACGTTCATCCTTAGAAAGACTATATTTATACTTTCTTTCTGTAAAAGGTTGTTGTTACTATCTTAAAGAAAATTTTTATTTATTCTTCTCTTTTTGTCATGCTAATTTATATTTTTCCATTTCTAGGAATATTTTTATCACTTAATTCTTTCAAAAGTTTTCTTATTCTGTTATCATGCAGAATATATATTATTTCCATTCATTCTTATACTATTATCTTATTCTAGAGAAGGTTGTTCTTATTTTATTCAGAGAAAAATAAAATTCATATCTTCAATTTTATGAAAATTATTCTTTCATTCTTAAGAAAGTTGTTCTTTTTCTATTTTTCCAGGGAAAGTTTTTAGTATTTCTTCTTTTTTAAGTTGATTATTATAACCATTTCATTCTGGAGAAATTTATTTATTTTTCTGGAGAAGGTTATTCTTATTCTTTCATTTTTAGGAAGAATATTTTTATACCTTCATTCTTAAGAAAAATATTATTTTACCATCATTCTGGGAAATCTTTTTTCCAAGGATGCCATTTTTCTGGTGTAAGCTATTTTAATTCTTTAGTTTTAGTATAAATTGCCGTTCAGGGGGAAGTTATTATTATTATTTTAATATTTTCAGGAAGATTTTTCTTATATATATATCATTTCCTAGAAAGGTTATTATTATATGTTCCTTCTGTTGGAAAATTATTCATAACAAAAACATTTAAAAAAAAAATGGGTATTCGCATGTTTTTGGATGAGATTCATAAGCTAAGCCACTACAAGTTTAGTCTTATTGATAAGAACGATTTGAATATCGCCTCAGATATGAGCCATGGTGGTATGGGCGATGTGGTTAGCACCTATAAGTGTATGTGTGTGTAACTGAAGGCAAATTCATGACCATTCGATGAAATCATGCCTCCAGGATTGGTTTATGGCTATTGGTATGCCACATTTTTTCAGAGGAAGGATATTGGTATAGAGAAGATTTAGGACAATAACAGGCTCTAAAAATATACTCCAAGCCAATCAGGATCAACACGCTCAGCCGCAAAGTGAGAGATGTGTTACGTAAGAGAACCTTTCAACATGAAATAATTTTTTATGAAGTGGGGTACATCTTCTGACACTGTTAACAATATCAGATACAATTATTTCAAGTTGAAGAAGGCTTACAAAAAAATTCACAAGCTTCTAGTCACACTCGAAATCAATGGAAGTTTCTTGGAACAAATGGCTGAAAATACTGGAATCACCACAGTACCATTTGACCACATGTTTGTCATGTCTCGTGTGGTTAACTTCCGTCATGCAACAGGCAGCAAGCAACGATTTTGAGACATCATCCATACAAAAAAAAAAAAAAAGAATCAACATTACAGTCTCGAAAAACTATTAAGTTTCTTAATGAAAATTATGCCAGGAAAAAAGGGGTTATTGGAAGTGAATGTCATGTGAATTTATTACGCAATAGACAATGCATAAGTGAATGTAAGATATAAATGAAAATAAGACTATTCTACAAAAAAAAACGTCTCATGTCGAAGTTCTGTAAGAAATAAATCTGGATAAATCTAGAGTGCAACATATATTTTAACGTTCTGCCATTGAAGAAAGTTATTCAAAAATTAACTTATGAGGGATCCTCATAGGCTCTCATGTTCGTCTTAGCAACTAATATTATGACATAAGCAACCAATCACAAATCTATATGTACACAATATTGTACACAATAATAAGAATTAGTTAAAGGCGAAGTCATATATTCCCATAAAAACTACAGAGAAATTATTTTAGCATATTGTTAGTTATTTGACAGCATTTTAAAACACGTTTGAGAAGGCTATATTTTTGGCAACAAGACTGATAAGGCTAGTGAAGAAAACTTAACGATATCTTTACAAAAAAAAGAAAAAAAGAAAATCGAGTTTTGCTGTGAAAATGTAACAGAAATAAAACAAAGTTAAGTAAAAACATTTTACGGAACCCAAAATATTTAATTTCTATATTCAGCCTGCGTGAAAATGTTAACGTATGCGATAATATATATGATATTTATGGAAGAACGCAACAAAATATTACGCCTAGAAATAGTTTTGTACACAATAATAAGAATTAGTTAAAGACGAAGTCATATATTCCCATAAAAACTACAGAGAAATTATTTTAGCATGTTGTTAGTCTTTTGACAGCATTTTAAAATACGTTTTTTTTTTCAAGTTAGCTATTAAATAAGTTATCTAGTCCAATGTTTTTTGTCTTAAAGTGATAAAATAATCAAATATTACGCGTA